ACTGTACTTGCACAAGAAGCCGCGAGTGTAGACATAGCTTTAGAGGGAACACTTCCCCCAGCCTCTCTGCCCCTGAGTTAATGTCACACACATTGGGTTAATGCAATTGCAGGATAGTTGCATGAGGGGGGTTTGGTGGGGGCCAAACTAATCTCTGTTGGTAGGAGGCTGGTGGGAAAAGTCCTTCAAGAGGGGTGACATGACACCTTTTACTTCTGGTATTGTGTCCATCTTGCACTGAGCGTGTTACCTCCAGAGGCCTGGTTAACGGGGGTCAGGGCGTGCACACACATTGGGTTAATGCAATTGCAGGATAGTTGCATGAGGGGGGTTTGGTGGGGGCCAAACTAATCTCTGTTGGTAGGAGGCTGGTGGGAAAAGTCCTTCAAGAGGGGTGACATGACACCTTTTACTTCTGGTATTGTGTCCATCTTGCACTGAGCGTGTTACCTCCAGAGGCCTGGTTAACGGGGGTCAGGGCGTGTGGTTAATTGGGGTCAGGGGCATGGTTAACCGGGGTCAGGGGGTGTGGCTAATGGGGAACCACGAAAAATTATACAAACCTGCTGCCCTTGGCCCTAACCACATAAGCCATCACATTGGAGGCTCATACAATGGCACATCCACTAAGTGCCAGCCTTTGATTTGGGATTTACTGCATAATCTCTCATCTGCAGAGCTGAAGGTGCTTACAAACATAAATCGATAAATGTCTCACATCGCCCCTCCTTGCCTCAGCCTAAGTCTAGACTACAAAGCTAAGTTAGAAAAAGATGAGCACATTGTGAATTCAATTTGTGTATCTTTTTCCACTTTTCTGTTGAAAGAGGCTTTTCCGAAATTTGGGGCATCTACAGAGCAACACATTTTGGAAAAACCTGCTCTTTCGACACATCCCTTATTTCTTGTAGAATGAGGTTTACAGGGATGGTGAAAGAGCGTGTCTGCTTTTTCAATTTTTTTTTTTGAAAAAGTGGACGTGTTCCTGGGACGTGGCATTGCTTTTCTGGGTTTCCCGGAAAAGTGCTGCAGCCTAGACGTAGTCACAGTAACATTATACAAGGGACTGGTAACACTTCCCTGTCTCTACTGGAAATATCTACCTGGTGTGTTCTAGGACCACATTAGCCCTTTTTCATGGCTGCATCACATTGGTGGCACATAGTCATCCTGCAATTGACTGATACATCCAGATCTTTCAACTCCTTTGTTATTTCCAATTTATATTTGTTTAGTATTTGTTTAGGTGTTGGGCCATGCCTAGGTCATCTTTAATGTCCACGTCATCCTCAGTGTTTAGCAGTCCCACTTGTTTTCTTATTTATATGGTAATAGAACCATTTACTATTGGTTTTAATTCCCTTTGAAAAATACAGTTGTACTTGGCTTTTGTCAGTTCTCACTTTAATCCTATACTTTCTGACTTCCAAAAGGTCGTGCTCCTGGCTGACCCCTCATATCTTCCATTTCTTGCAGGCTTTCTGCTTTCTCTTAATCACCTGTTTATGATGCTTGTTCTTCCAGCTTGGTCTGCATCCCTTCCCTATGAATTTTCTTCCCTTATTTGGGATGCAGGCTTCAGATACTTTAAGTCAAAGTTTCAGAAACTAATTGCCACTTTCACATTCAGATCCTTGAATTCTTCAGTCTAGTCCACTTCCCTAAGTAATCCCCTTAATTTTTTTAAAGTTGATTCTTTTGAAAAGAAGGACCCAAGTGGCAGATCTATTTTTCCAGTTAGTTTAAATTCAACCATTCAAACCAAGCCTGTCCTCTCTAACCAGTTCTTCTATGAAGTCCTCATGTAGCCTTCTTTCCTTACTGTATTTATCCTAGTAACAAAAGCATGACAGGCTTCTACAACTGTGGCTCCCAAAATGCTATAATCACTGCAGGGTCATAGACCAATCACCATAGGGTGTTCAAACATAATGCATTCTGTGAGTTTAGTTTAATTGGTTCACTTCTTTAATTCCAAACAGTTAGCAAATGGCTATTTGAAGACCTGGAATTAAGATCAGGTGAAATATTCACAAAAGATAATTTTTGGCTTGTTCTCTAATTGGTTGAAATTTTAGACAAACATTCCAATATTGGGAAAAAAAATAGGGTAAAACTTTAATATGAGCAAACCCACAATCAGTTCTCTCAAGAGAGAAAATACACCGATGTTTTACAGGCACAAAGGTGGCACTCTAAGGGTACGTCTAGACTACCGCGTTTTGTCGCCGGAAGTTTTGTCGACAGATACTGTCGACAAAACTTCCGTCGACAAAGAGCGTCCAGACACATGGAGTTCTGTCGACAAAGCAAGCCGCTTTGTCGACAGAACTCCGTAGTCTGGACGCAGTGTTACAGGCAATAACACCTTCTGTCGACAGAACTCTGTCGACAGAAGGTGTTTTGCCTCGTAAAATGAGGTATACCAGCGTCGACAAAACCGCGGAGTTCTGTCGACGTTATGTCGACAGAACTCCGCGGTAGTGTAGACGCTGGTATTGTTTTGTCGACAAAAGTCCACTTTTGTCGACAAAACTAGGTAGTCTAGACACACCCTAAATGAAGTCACTAACATTGGTGTGAAAAAAATACATTCTGGGATATTCCTGGAAACTGGACAATACTCTAAATCACAGTACTAGAGACTTGGCAGAGCTTGATTATTTTGCAATTTTGAGTGATAATATTGATGCTTAATTTTAAGCATTTTTTTCAACTTTTATCGATTTACATGTTCACAGTTGCATGGCCCCTGGCTCCTCCACAGTAGGAGGGAGGAGGATGCATGGCTCCTGGGCCCCCATGAGGGGGAAGGGTGTGCAGCTCCAGGCCCCCGTGGAGCACCAGGGAGGGAGGAGGCCTCATGGCCCCCCCCGCAGAGGAGAGAGCACGCAGCTTGTGGCCCCCCTTGAGTGGGGAGGGCACGTGGCTCCCGCCCCATGTCACCAGGCGAGGGGAGGGAATGAGGAGGCAGGGAGGCTGAGGGGATAGTGGGACATAGAGTGACGTGATGACATTCCTCTGTCTTCCGGCAGGAAAATTTCTTATATGGAAAAAGGCAGATGTCAAAATATACAAAGTAAAGGCCCTTAAGTCAAATGCTTGTAACTTTTGAAGCAGCATTTTTCTTATTTTGCATTCATGTAAATGTCTTTCTATCACAAATGAACTAAATTTACCAATAAAAAATTTAATTCTTCCAAGCCTAGCTATAAGGGAAAAAGAAAACAACAGGAAACTGGGGTTTTTTTTGCGGGGAGGGGGACAGTTGTGGGGAAGGGGCGGGTGTTACATCCCTGTCCTCCTTACCATCTCCAGAAGGTTCAAGAGCAATTGGCTGTGCTTCCTGACTATATTATAAGCTCGACAGCAAAGCTCCACAAACTCTTGGAATCGCTGTTGGTTTTTTCCGCCTTCTGTAATGAAATACTCCATCTCTGAAGTGAAGATAAAAGGAGCTCGGTCCCTTGAAAAAAACAAAATACAATGAAAAATGGCAACTCCTATCTGACCATTAATTTTTTAAACTCCCTGCTAATATTTGTTTTCCTAGTATTTCCTCTCTCGTTATTTCTGCCCTCCCTTTCTGCAAAGTGGGTAACATCATACCAGAACATTCAGTGATGTTGACTAATTCTGGCAGACATAGGTCTCTAGGGGTATGCCCGCGGCTTCCATGGGGAGTAACAGTTAATCCGAACTAAGGATTTAGTTCAGATTAACTTTAAACTGCTGCGTGTAGCCGCGGGCAGTTCGTTCGAACCAAGGGGGATTTAAAAATGGCGGCCGGATGGGAAGATGCAAATAAAGCCTGGGATATTTCAATCCCAGGCTTCATTTGCCACTCCGGTTGCCTAATTTGCCTACCTAGCTCAAATAACGAGCTAGTGTAGACATACCCTAGGTGAGAACTTCTTAGTGCAAATGGTTATGCAGCAATTTGGGGAGGTTAACAACTGAACATGATTTTTTTAAATTTATTTTTAATTTTGACTGCTTTAGTTTCCTGACTCCCTGCCTGAGCATAATGTTTTTGATCTTGAAGCATATTCTCTCCTGGTACTGAAATATTTAAATCTGTACTTGAACAGAGTGGGATATAAATATAACTCACTACCCCACAAGAAATGTATTTAAAATACACAAAATCCTCCACCTCCCTCCCCCCCAAAAAATCTAGGGTGCAGTTCTGCTTTTGAATACACAGCTGTGAAGGTCTGGTTCTGACTTCAGTTGCACCAGAATACAACAAGATATGCATTGGCTTCTATCCAGTGACTCCAGATTTAGACTGATGTAAATTGCCAGCAGAATCTGGGCCCAAGTCTTGCTTTTTTAATAACTTGTGGATTTGGAGCTATGCTGTGGTATTGCAAAAGAAAGTGAATTAGCCAGACAGACTAAAAATTCTCTCTCTTGAGAGCTTGAGCTTCAATATTAGTCAGATACACTGCTACTCCAGCAGAGAGAGAACCACTACAGGATTTTGTTCCCCATAACTGTGTATGCAGGTATACGTGAACACAACTGAGCCAAGTAATATACACAGCGGATGAGATTTAACCCTGAGCTAGAGGTAAGCCTCAGTCAACATTCAGAATCCATGTATTCCCCAATATCTGGGAGATTTGAACTCCAGATGCAATTTTTTCAGTGTGGGGGCCTCCTTAGTTAAAAATTCACTCAAGAGGAGTCTGACCCCATTCTACTTGCTGAGTCATCCCCACAAGTGATCTGAACATCTTCCCCATGAAAAATTTTCTCTCTCAGTATCCCCCAACTCATTGTTAGTCTCCTTAAACTCTTGTAGACACAGGCTCTTTGTTTGACTGCAGTGATGAAGTTGGGTTGCATTGGATGCTCATGTTGGGGCTTGGGAATTTACTCTAGACAAGACAGTCAGCCTTCCTAATGCCCTAACTGCCTCCCTTTCCCACAGTCTCTGGATTAAAGCATCCTTCCTACAAATCCATCCTCTGCCTTTAAATGTTGGCCACAAAGTACACCTGGAAATAACCTCGTTTGCTAAGGCCAAATCAATTTTTTGTGTAACTTCATCGATGTTAATTGTTCATCTTTCCAATCTTTTCTGTGCTGTGTAGGAAGCTGTTTGAGAACATCACTGTTGCCTTTTGTTATTGCATTGGTTTGTGATCTCTCTCACTCGCTCTCTGGAGTTTATACATCTCAGTGACAAATTATAAAAATCACATCTATTATGGATCTCAGTAAACAATTTTTTTCAGGCCCAGCCTTTAATCCATCATTAAGCTTTTCTTAGAGACAAAAGCTCCCCTGTTTAACACAACTACTCCTCTTTGATATTAATCTCTAAATATTCCTATATTATTGCTGAAGAACATGTGAACAGACAACACTCAGTGAAGTCAGCCTGGGAGACAATCACAGAGCCAGGCCTGCAAAACAGATGAATTTCACCTAAGACTGGAGATGGGGCCAGTTCCAAACTCTGCTTTTCAATGCTCCTCCATCTTTTTTGGTGTTCAAAAACCAAACCTCAGATTTGCTGCAGAGTCCTCTCCTTATAAGATGCCTATTCAAACCTCCAAATGTAAAGCCCCCTGGAGCGCTGTGATGTTTGGAATCTATATTTGAATTTTGAGATTTGTATCAATCTACACCAAGAAATAAGATATTCTGTGAAAGCACAGATATTCTAAAGCAAGGTCAAATCTCTCATGTTAAATCAACATCATGGTTATTTGAGCTGAAATCAGAAACTGTGAGTAACAGAGCTTTTTAGTGGAAGACACAGTTTGGTACAGTGGCTGCTAGCATTAAGCTATTTTTGTAGGCTTTATTCGAGCCCTGTCTGGTATTTGACAGCTCTTATATTATTTGCAGCATTAGCTATGTTGCAAGAAATTCTGAAACCATTGATAAAGTTTCTTAAATTTCTCAATTTCCTTCAAGTCTCCCTTCTAAAGTGTTGGACCTTTCCTCTTACAGTCATCTGAAAAATATGATGTAGATAATTGATTTCTATTGGAATATTTAAGCCAGGCTTTTCTCAAGCTCTTCTGACATCACAGACTCTCTCTTCCATGGTAACCAGATGCTGAAACTCCAGAGATGCAGGAATTTAATGAAGCTAGAAGCTCACAAAAGAAGCGCCTCCCAATTTTAAAGAAATAGCAATATGAAAATAACACAGGAGAGGAAAAAAGTCATCCAGAAACAGAGGACATCTTATTGAGATCTCTTTAAAAAAGCAATTTGCAATGATACAAGGTTTTTAAAGGCTGTGTAAAATGCATCAACAAGGGACAATTTCTGCACGTGTCTCTTTCTGCCTGCTGCTTTTCAGAAGCCCTATTTGAAAATAGGGGGAAAAGGTGCCCCATAAATGACTCCAAAATTGCAAATTGTAAACTGTACTTTGTCAGCTCATCAAACATGTGCAAGTTTATAACATCAGCAACAAATGGTGACTTCTGTTTCAGTCCAAATAAGGAAAAGATAATGTGTGTTCCAGAACTTAAAAAAAACAAACAAACCCTCACTTATGCCTCTCTCTCTCTCTCCATATATTTAAACACATAGCAGGAAATAAAGCGGAAGAAGCATGAGAAGAGGCTTATCTGTGTGAGTACACTGTCTAATGCTACCATACATAAACATGTGTTTGTTTGCCCAGCAGCTCTTTCTTCCTTGATGTGCACTGCTAGAAACATACATCATGGCATTTAACTAAAAAACAAACAAACCAACCCACCCCAAACCAGCACTCACTAGAAGCCACAGTTTCAAGGCAATTGAATTTGTTTTCACCTTCTGTGATCCCCCATTTAAGGTTTCTGGCTCCCCAATGTCATGTCTCTTGGATGAGACCCACATCTCTCTTCTCCTGTCAGGGTCTTTAAAGTGTCACAGTTCCCTGTTCTGTATTCTGATATTAACACCAAGTCAGTTTGCCTCACAGGCAGCCTCTGTACCTTGCTTTCTCTCCAAGGACTATGGACGGTGTATTACCAGCAATTACAAGTTACCGCACAGCTTGTTCTAAGGAAGCACTTTGATTCTTAAGGTAAAAGCATATCAGGGAAAACAAAAGACAGATTTAACACACACACTTAAATATCACGAGTTACTCATCAGCTCCCATGGGCCCCTGGGAGGGCAGAGTCTTTCCAAACCTTTCACAAGAGTTGGGGACTTAGCATTTGCTGGATTAGAATGGAGGTTCTAAGTCAATTTAAATGCAGCCATTTTACACCAGAAGTCACTTCAAATCAACACTCTCTGTTTTTAGTTCCTAGGGGAGCTAAAACCAACCCTCCTCCACAAACCTCTCCTCCACAGCTGCATACAAACCCTGGCCCACAGTGATACATGAACCATTCATAACCTTAATACAACATGTTCCTCCAAAGAGAAGGCACATGCTTTCAATATTTCTCAAACAGATCATAAATAAGTCATAACATGTCACCACCACAGGGAGCTCAAAGAGCAAGGACTCTGTATCACCATCAACATGTGCACCAACGGGGCCTCACAAGTCAAAATCCAGGTCTCCATTAAGCATGTGCTCCTTCAATGAAATCAGTGGAATTGCATGGATTTAAGAGAGAATTATTTAGCTTTCCCTGCCTCCCAACCTGCTACAGAGTCACTTTTTATCTTCTGTGTTTGCACTGCACTTGTGAGGCAACATAATAAGTAGGAGATTTGGCCTTGACTATGCCTCCATTTAGTAAGGGCACACAAGCCTTTGTTCTAAGGGAGCATGAAAAGGAAGACATTCACGCCATAGTATGCCCTCTATCCTACAAGTGTAAAACTCTGGGAAATGTTGATGCAACTTTGCTTGGACCTTGTACCCCATAGCATATAAGCAAAATCAATGAAATTGCCCCCTCTCTTCACTGCAGATTGTGCCCTGGTGGGCTTACTGACTCCTCTAGTTCCTTATAATGGAAGTGTTTCAACAACGAAGGGAATGCACACACTCAGGGCAAATAGGCTTTTATATAGTACTGGGATTTCAGGAGTTACATTTTGCTATGGCTGTGACCTAAGGTTTATTCAATTAATTCCAGGAAATGCAAATCCGGTCATGAATATCATCATGTATTGCTGTCAGTTCTTCCAAATTTTCATGGGAATGCTTTTTAGTTTCCCTCCAGAGGCTAAGACAGTTTGGGAGGCAGGGAAGCAAATAAGTCTCACATTATTGGATAGCTCAGCATGCTTAAAAACAAACTCAAGTTAAAGTTAAGAATATTTACTAGGGCCTTATCATTGGTTGGAAACTTGCTTCATCCCTAAAGCTGCAGAATAGTCAGATCCCTAGGGTTTACTGACCATTGGCATGAAACATCTGAAATAAACTGATAATAAAGTTTATAAGGCTAGCAAAATTCCAGCTTTCCCCATTCTGAATCCCACGGTATGGAACATGTTTCTAGTCAGAAAGATGTCTCAACTTCCTTCTTGATTTAG